TGAAAGAAAATCCATTTTCTGTTTTTAAGTGTCAACTAGAGTTTAAATATATAAAAATAAATTAAAAAAGGATTATTTTAAGTTAATTAAATCTAATTATTTCAAAAATCTTATTTCATCCAATACCATTGATGTTAGTAAGATTAATAATACATATAAAAATCTCAATTATAATTATTAAATAATCAAATAACTAAAAGAAGGTGTCAAAGACAGATATTTAGATATTCTGATGAATGATTAAAATAATTTAACATAAAACGGGATTATTTATTAAATTTTCTTAAATATTAAGATATTACGTAATATAAAATATTAGTGATGTAATAAATTAACAATTTACATATTATTAAAAATATGATAATACAAAAATAAGTGTATCTTAGTATAAAAAAATAGTTGTAGTTATACAACAGATATATCAATAAATACATAAATGATATATTTTCCTATGATGTTTAAAAATCAAATCTTAAATTCATTAAGCTGTTAATTTAAAATTTATAAAGATTTATTAAAAAATCAATTAAAAGAATACAAAAGAAATTATAAAATTATTTCATATTTAAATAAATTGTGTTATCTAAATTAAAAACTAAATCTATTGTTTATATTTTTGTAATATCTAATTAATATTTTATGGAACTAAGATAATAAATAAAGCTGGAGAGAAAACTAACTGAATTGACTATAAATTTCATTGAAAGTTTTTATTTTATTATAAATACAAATTATTAATGTTATAACAACAGTTAATACAGTCTAAGAAATAGATGAAGAAGAACATGACAAAGAAGTCGAGTGTTTTTATAAATAATTTGAATAAATTTGTTTTATTATCTTTTGATTATTTCAATAGTATTTTTTTTAATTAGAATTTTTATAATAAGAAGTAATTTTTTGAATGTTAACAAACGTAGAAAAAATTATTTTCAAATTAAATTTTCTTTTGATTTTTTTATTATTATAATTGTGACTTCAAAGAAAAAAAAGACTTTCCATGCTATATTTTTATTCACACAATCTAGTTTTTGAAATAATCAATGTTTTATAAAATTTGGATAGTTTGACGTGATTTTATTTTTTAACTTTAATTTACTATTTTAATTTAAGATTATTTATAAAATTATTTTTACTCTTGAAATTATAACTATAAACAAGCTAAATGTTTATGTTTGTTTTATAATTAAAAAACTTTATTATTTATTTTCAATAATCTTTTAATTTACAATTAAGTCTAATTCTTTTATAAAATAAATTTTATTTTTTAACCATGAATTTTTCGAAAATTTTCTTTGAAATGAATGTTATCCTTGGTTGTACCTTAGTAAGTGATAATAATACTATATCAAATATAATTTTAGAAGAAGATGATGAAATTAAACAAATGATTGAAGAATATGTAAAATCAAAGAATTTCTTGAAAAAGAATGTACCTTTGATTATAAGATTGCTTGAATCTAAATACAGTTATGTATCTATAGATGAAATTAATTCAATAGTAAGACAATTAAATATTAATTTTAAGAAAAAACAAATCAATAGTGAAGAAAATTTAGATAATGAAAATTGTATTAAAGATTTTAAAAAGTATATTCATATTACATATAATAAAATGTTAAAAAGATTTGGCAAATTGATAGTTAAAAAAATTAAAGGCAGTGGTAAAGTTAAAGATAATCTACTGTCTTTATTATATTTACCCAGGTATTGTATTGATGAATTTTTAGTCTCGTTAAAGGAAAATCAATGTGATATTAGTTTTTCTAATAATGAATCTCTATTAGAAATTTATATGGATTTTTTGTCAATTTATGAATTTTATAAAGACGTAATTTTTTTCTATGAGAAGTTAAGATTTCTTATTGTTCCAATAATTAAAGTCAAAGAGAGAATGTTAAACTCTCGTATTTTTAAAAGTAAAAGTGTACTGAATTCATTTAAATTTGATGGAATATACTCTCCTGTGATAAAAGAGTCTTTATGTGAGGAAGTTTTACATTGTATTTTAAGAATGAACATTAGAAAAGAAACGAGTATTGAAGATAATAAAAAATTTAAAAATTATTGCAAAGAATTTTCTAGAAACGTTGTAGAAATAATCATTTTAATCGAAAAGTATAATAATTCTTATAACAACAGTTTGACTAGTTTTACAATTGACTCTTGTATTTTTAAATATATTGATAATAATAATGATTCGTTAAAAAAAGAAATTCAACAACTAAATATAAAATTATCAAATCATCTTTTTATAGAAAGTAAAAGATATAATACAGATTTATATTATTGCATGAATTACTTTTATTCTTTATATTCAAATATTTGTATTCCTTTCTCTTTTTATAGAGAAAGAGATACTGTTTTAGAAAATAACGAAGAAGTAGAAAATGATCAAGGTATTGTCTGTTTTGATCTAATAATTATTTCATCAAGAATTATGAAAGGTTATTGTAAAATTTTACTTATTTTATTCAATCCGTCATTGACAAGATATTTAATTAGTTAATTTTAATAAATTTTCTTTAAAATTATTAAAATTACATAAATCAAAAATTTTTAAAATGTTTTATTCTTTTTTATTGTTAAAAATTGTAATATATTATGTGATGGTTGATACCACATATTTGGAACAAAAGTTTTAAAAGGAATTTAAATTTGAAATAAAATACAATGGTTAAAAAGGATTTGAAATTTAATAAAGCAACAAATAAATGTAAAAAAGGCATATTTTAATGAAAAAATTAAAATATAAAATTTATAATAAATAATACAAATTTATTGTGAATTTAATAAAATCTTTTAAATAAAAATACATACTTTAACATTTTTTTAAATAAAAAGTTAAGTATATTACAATATATCAATATGAACTATTAAGAAGATTTAATATTAAAAATTTTAATAAAATATATACTTTATAGTAATTATTTTCTTATATAAAGATGGTATAAATTATATAGTGTTTTATTTTAAAGAAGTATTTGTGTTTTAATAAAATAAAATTTTATTACTTCAAAACTTTCATTTTATTGACGAGTAAAAATAAATATTCTATAAAACTTTGTTTGCATTAACTTTTAAATATATAAACTTTAAAATTATAATACTTAAATTTTATAGAACCTTTTAAAAATTATTTACCTGTTTTTTCGTTTATTTTCATTAAAATGTTTTTCTTAATAAATATACTGATGATGTTAAAAAAGTAAAATAATAATTTTTCAAAAATGATATGTTAAAAATATCAAAAAAATGATTTATTAAAAAAATATTTATAAGGTGTTTTGATAGAAAAATACTTGTTAAAAGGGTTTAGCAGGTATATAAAATATTTAAAATTAAAGAATGTTACATAGATTAGTTTTTAATAACAAGATGATAAAAAATATAACAAATAGTCGGTAATATAACTATCTATTTTATAAATTTAAAGAAATATTATAGAGTTGCTTTAAACAAACCTTGCTTTATAATTACCCATAAAACAAGATGCCTGAAAATCTAAACAACATTGTTTTATATCCAAAAATATATTGTAATAATTTAGTTTTTATTACAAAACTACCTTATCGTTTACAAAATGATAGTAATGGAAATATTTTTTGATTTTAATTTTAACAAATATATCATAAGGGACAAAAAATTTTGAATTTGAATTTGAAAAACTTCTAAATACTTCTTTTCTAAATATTTATATCATCTTTTGTTTATTTTTTTTCATATATCTTATTACTTAACTAAAAGACATTTTTAGCTTTAGCATTCATTTAGAAATTACTATTTTTAATTTATAAAGATTTTAAATTGATAGTATTTTTTAAATTGTAAATAATTAATTTTTTTAATTAATTATTTAGAATTGTTTTTATAGTTAACTTTTAAATCTATAAATAAACTTTTTACTAAAAAGATTTACTTCTTTTTTATATAATTTATTTATTTAGTTAACCTTTAAAAAATATTCTAAATTTAATACTATACTTAATTAAAATTAAACTTTAAACACATCTTTTCATATAAAAAGCCATAATGTAATGTTTTTTATATTTTATTATTAATGTATAAGTTTATAGACTAATATAAAATAAACTATTTTACTATTCCTAATAAACTTATACATAATCCAAATATCTAGAAAACAAATTTTCCGTAATTTTATTTAAAAAATTCAATCCTAACTATATTAACAACGACTATAATTAAAAATGTTAATAAAGTTTAATTAAAATTTTTAACAAAAAATAGTTTAAATTTTTAGAATTTTTCATTACCCATTTTAACAATGGTTATTTTCTTCCAAAATAATCTTTGTGTAAGAAATATAGTAATGAGATAAAGTATAAAACAGCCCAGAAATATAAATTCTATTCCAATTTTTCTTTAGAAATAAGAAAATTTTCTTTATTTTTTAAAACATCTTCATCTAATAAAAGTAATTTTAAACGGTTAAAGAAATCATTTGTTTCATAATAAATGAATGAAATAAGAAGGCTTAGAATAATACTGTAAAAAACAGATAAAGTTAACCTGACTAAAATATCTCGAACATGCTTTACATAAGAGGATAAAATGAATAATATAGTATAAGTTATTAAATATAAAATATCATATTTAGTTATTTTAAAAAATACAGTGTAAACTATCTCCTTTTTATTAAAAAAAGATTCAAAACATGTTTTTAAACTCATAATTGTTAGAACTAATAATACCAAAGTCCTATCAATGCTTATTAATCTATTAGAAAATATAAAAATTATTATATAAATTGATAATTCTACACAAGGAGAAAAAAATTTTAATATAGAATCCTCAGAAGTATTATCTAAAATGTTTAAAAAGCTATTTAAAATCATATATACAGCGAAGTATTTCCTTTTTCTTAGTGCGTTTATTTTAATAACATTTATAAAGTTATCAACAAAACGTTCAGTTTCTTGTTCTTCATGATCTTTTTGCAAATATTTAAATAACACTAAAATTAAAATCAATAATTCGTAAATCAAAAATCCTCCTGTTATTGATATAGCAATACCTCTAATGCGATTGTTAGAAGCAAATAATCCAATCACAATACAAAATATTATAGTCGCAAACAACAGAATGTAAACTATCTTAAACGGTTCTATTTTCTTATCTTTAATAAAATAATTAGATATATTATTAAAAGTTATTATAATAATTCTTGATTCAAGAAAAAATATATTGTAAAATTGTTTTAAAACTTCTCTAATTATTTTTGACAAAAGCTTCATTTAAAGGGAAAAATTTTTAAAAAAATTTATGATTTTTTTGAAAGAATTTTACTATTTATTTTTTCATTAAAAAATAGTAGATTTTACTACAATAAATCCTTATTAATTTATTTATTTGATCAAATATTAAATGATGATTTGATATTTATATGTTGAGCATGCTCTGTTATCACTTTCAACTTTTTATTTTCTAATTGTTTTTTAGTTTAAGAATCTTTATTCTAATTTTAAAGTATTTTTATTATATATACCGAAGCTTAGAGTGGAGGATGTTGAAGTAAGTTTATTAATTGAGGATTCACTGTCCGTTATATATATTCCTTTAAAGGTTTCCCTTATGTCTTCATTTGTATCTATGTCTATCGTTTAATTTAAGTTATCTTGTTTACTTGATCTGTTGTCTTCCAATTTCATTGGTAAAAATTTTTAAACAAAATAATTGTTTTACATCAAATATTTACAAAAAGAGTAAAATGAACAAATATAACTTAATAAACTACAAATTTTTGTCAAATTTCAGTAGTTAAGATACTGTAATATAGACTCTAAAATTCTTTTTTTTAAATATCACTTTTTGACTAAAGATTTGATCTTTAAAGTAAAAAATTAAAATGTTATAATAAAACTGATTTCATCTTTTTATAATTAAATCAATAATTTTTTGAAAATTGACTAATCTAATTACCAAAACCCTCAGAAGGCAAAGAAACTAATTTATTCAACCTGTCTATAGAGATACTCTTTATCTCTATTCCATTTTCTTCTTCATCTATTTCATCTATCTTGTTGATATTAATTGTCTTGTTTTCTAACTTTATATCTGTCATAAGGGATAAATTTTTATGTCAAATTTATAGACATATTAATTTATTTTCACTCTAAAAATATTCATTCAATAAATTAATTCAATATGCTTAATTACATATTACGACACTAATTATTAAAAATCAATCTTTTTAAAAACACTTATAAAGTTGTTTTTTCCATATAAAAGTCGTCATTTGTAAAAGTTTTTTTAATTTAATTTATACTTTACATTGTTTATATTAAGACATAAAAATATATTCAACAACAAAAAAACCTAAAATCTTATAAACTTAATTTAATTATTGCTTATTCCTATTTTAAGATATAAGTTAATAATAAAGTAATAAAAATTTTTTTTAAAAAAAGTTAATTTTTTTACCTTAATAAATTATACTTAGTTGATCATTAAAAATACAATATTAAATCTTACGACAAACAAATATATAAATTTTAATATATATGATAAAAAATTAATTCTCCATACAATAAACATTTTTTAAAATGATAATCCATATACATGCCTAATCAATATTCTGATTTTTTAAAAGGTAAAGTGATTATATTAAAGGAAATTGATTATACATATGAAGAAATTTCTTTAGAATTAAATATACCTATTTCATCGTGTCATCTTTTATGTATGCCTTGTCTATCTTTAACATCTTTAAAATCTTTTAAACTATCACTTTGTTTAAACATAATTTATTTACTTAAATTTGCTTTTATACTTATTCTAAAACAATGTTTCATTTTTTGTTTCATTTACCATAACAATGTAAAATTATAAATGAAAGAGTATAATGTCTAAAATTTTCTTCCGATAATAACAACCCAAAAGTTTTTCCTTATAATAAAAAATATAATAATAATCAAATTTTAGTAAATTTTCAAAATTCATATCCTGATTAATGTTGGTTTTCCACATAAATTCATTCAAAATCAACCCCATTTTTGAAGTCAAAACTCTTTTATATATCTTGCATAGATACTAACGTTTAATCCAGACACTCCCAATATTTTGAGTATGAACGCCTGTAAAAGCATTCACTAATGATTCAATGTGATTTACAGTAGAATGAAGAAATCTTAATCTACTAGTAATACCTATGTAAGCCCACCACTCATAAGAGTGTATAACTGTACCTGGAGCACAAACTCTTTTAATAATAGGTATAAGTATATTACTGACATTGTTTAGAACTAAATGCAAAGAAATTTTAACCTGTGTCTAAGATAAATCAGCTAATCCAACCATCCAAATTTTACGCTCTGATTGTCGACACAATTCTACTTATGTTTATGTCTAAAAAACTTTCATCTATTTGAAAAATTTTACCATCGCCGCCTAAGAAGAGTAGGTTTTTGGCTTAATAATTAAAACATTGTCTTCTAAGAATATTAATTATTTTTATTATGCTGTCCTTACCCACATTAACTTCAGATCTTATTTATATTTGAGTATGGTTGTTTAACCATTTAAAACACATTTTTAGTATACTACTCATGGTACGTTCAAATTCGATAGTAATAACTCGGTGCGAATTAGAAAGTACTTTTTATAATTTATACAACTCATAGTAAAACACCTAAACGCTAAACAATCTCTGTTTCTTGGGTATGATTTTGATATTATATCTTGATTACAAGATATATACCAAATGTACGTTTTAAGTACTCCTTTAGTCAATAGAAACTCTATTGGTTTCACAACAGGATCGAGTAGTAACGGTTCAAGCACTTTTATATACTGATAATTTATTGATTAAAAATTTTTTTAAAGTTATATTTTTTATTTATATATTTTTTTATCTATTTTCTATAAATTTCAGACTTAATCCGATATATTTGATATCATAATGATTAAAAATGTTTTTAATTTATAATTTTTAAATAATATTAAAGAAAATATAAAATATTGTTAAAATAATGATATAAAAATTATCAATTCAACATTGTGTTCATTTAAAAAATAAATTAGATTTAACAAAATAATTTTTTTAGTTTTTTATTAACAATAAAATAAATTATCTTTTGTCTTAACATGATTCTTGATTTTAAAAAATAAAGTTTAATCTTTAATTATAAAAATATTCTTGCCTTTTGTTAAAAAGATTTTTTAGTGCTAGAACCTAAGGAGTGATTAGAACAAAGTTATTAAGTCTTTCCATTAATCTATAAGCGTCTTCCTTACTCCCTGCGTAAGGGCTACTCTCTATATCTAACTCATCTCTAATATCATCTGTCTCTCTCTTACTTAAATACTCTTCACTCATCCTATATTTAATTTCTTGGGCTAAATAAAATATCTTCTTTAAATATATCACCTGTCAAATCAATCAATTAAAATCTCTTTAAATATTCTTTATTACTTAAATAAACAATTTACTCATTTTGGAGTATACGATATTTAGTATAATTAATCTATGTATTATAAAAAACTAGTAAAATTTAAACATGAGTTTTTATAACAAGTAAAATTTTATACTTTAAAAAATGAAAAAATCTGTTAATTAATTTTATTAGTAGCAAAAGCAAATTATGTTATCTTCTTCACAAGATGATTGCTTTTTACCGTTCATTTTACTTGAAAATGAAGGGTTTTTCTTTTCCTGTTCATGTTTAAGATTAGATAATTCCTTATCAATAACATCTTCTTCACCTTTACCACTGTTATTAACAACTAGAAATACAATGGTAAGATTTTTATAAGTAAAATCATCAACATAAAAACCTTTTAAACCATCATGATTAATTAAATTAACCCTTTCACTCTCAAATGGTATCACTAAATTATTGATTTTACAGCGTATAAAGATCTTATTTTTAGAATCTTCAAAACCTGCTAATTCATTTATTAAATAAAAGAATCTATTAACGAAAACATAAAGTATGTTATTTGAATCAAATTTAGGGCTTGTAATAAACATATGTCCTTTGCCAAAATTCTTTAATACTTCCAGCTCATTTCCAATAGCATACTTAAAACCATTATTGAAAACAATGATTTTATCTTTGTTACCAAATTTAGATAAATCATCTAAAATTTCAGAAATTTCTTTTTTAACAATTACCTTCTCAATGTTTTTATCCATTGCTTTATCTTCTTCCCTAATTTTACTAAAATCTATTTCCTTATCTTCATCCATAACCTCAAGCATTACCTCTTCTTCTTTAGTTTCTTTTTTATCTTCACTCTCAGATTCTTCGTTAACTTCTCGTTTTTGTTGATTTTCTAATTTTTCATCAACTTCTAATTTGTTTTGATTTTCTTCATAAACTTCATCTTCTTTGTTAACTTCATCTTCTTTGTTAACTTCTTCATCAGCTTGACTAACTTCTAAATCTTTACTAACTTCATCTAAACCACCATCAATAATTTCAACTTCTAACCCCTTTTTTAGTTCTTCTTTAAAATCTTTAGTTTCATCATTAATAACTCTAACATTAATTATCAAAGAATGATGTACCAAATCATTAAAATACTTTAAGTCTATATTGCTTAACTTATTAATCTCAACATAATCTTGATCAGATTTAAAAGAATCAAGTGATTCTTTATCAAGTCTTAAACGAAGTTTAAAATCCTTTCTAATTAAATCACAAACTTTCTTTGTTATTACTTTGTCTACATAGTAATATCCCTCACCATTGTTCAATTCACTTCTATTAACCACTAGATCTAATGTAATAACTTTATCGATGTTTTCCATCTCCTTTACTTTGACCATCTTAATTAAGGGTGTAAATGTAATAAATTTTTTAAATAAAAATTTTATATAATTTTTATTAAAAGCATTTGTTATCTGATTTAATTAAATAAAATCATTTTTGTTTAAATATTCACTAATAAAATATTTTTATACAAACTTCAAATGATCAAAAAATTATTTAATTGAAATTTTTAATAAACTGATTGTGGTTTATTGAAAAAAATAAAATAATTGTTTTTTAAATATTATTTTCTTATATCTTTATGTGATTTGATTAGAAAATAGTTTATTTAACTAAATTTAATAGAGATTAATGTCTTTTAACCTTGAAATTTCTATTAAAAATCTTAGATTGTTACTTTTCTTGTTTTTAATGGATTAAATTAAAAGCAACAACTTATTTTAAAATCTTCTTAATCCTTTTTATATTAATTATCTTTGAAATTATTGTTTCTTTGAATCTATCACTAGATTCATTTTTTTAAAATCATTATTTTCAGAAATGTCAACAGATGCTTTTTTTATTTTACAAATTTTATATCATTGTTAATAATTAACAATAGTATTGTATTCACATCAGATTTTGACAAAATATAATATTTTTTGAAAATCTTATGTGTTAAAGGTAAAATATTATTGAAGTAATTAGTATCAATGTATTTATTATTTATAATTTCTTAATTATTTAATAAATATAAATCATATTGTTTGATATTAAAGAAAATTTATTATTTTAAAAAAGTAAAACAAAAGTTTTTCAAAAAGGACTCTTTTACCTTTCTTCTATTATTTAAACTCTTTTATGACTACTCTCAGTGTATTTAACAACGTCTAAGATTAAATTATTTTAATACCTTCTTTCAAATAAATTCTTTTTACATAAGAAATAGTTTGAATAAAAAACCTATTAAAAACTTCAGTATCTAAGAAAACACTTTTTTGATATTCATTAATTCAAAAACATTATTACTTTCTTCATTATTATGAAATTTTTTATTATTGATTTTATGTTAATCTTTAATATAAACTTTCTCTTTGATAAATTTTTGTTCTTTGTTTGATAAACTTTCTTTTATTTCAACCCCATCTAATAAATTTACGTTCATTATTGCAACTTCTTACGGATCTAACTAACTATCTTCATATATTTTTTAATATTGTTATTAAATTTGACAATTCCTTAAATTAAATCAATAAAATACTCAGATTATAAATCATCAAAAAATTGATTCCTGTATAAACCTCATCATTTTAAATATGATTAATTATCTCTTTTAAAACAAATAATTTTACATAAAAATCATATTTAAAGAAATCACATTCATCTTTTATTATTTTTCATTATCTTATTCTTTAAACTCTTTTAAATAAACTGCTTAATTCATTACTTACTTTTTGAAATTTATCTTAAGTTTAAATTAAAAAAAATTCAAAAATTTTTTTTAAATCATATTAGATATTAATTTGATTTTTTATATTTAAATAGAACGTTTTTAATTGTTTTTTAATAAAATTTTTAACAAATATAATATATTAAAATTTTAGTAATTAATAAATAAAATTTTAGTAAAATAATATTGGATAGTTTTAATATTTTATAAATGTTGCTTTTTTACTAATAACTACATTGTATATTTGAAAATAATTCATATTAAAAAGCATTATATTTTAACAATTTTATATTTAAGTTAAAAAACTTCCTTTTCTCATTCTTATTAATATCTTTGTAATTTTTTTAAGTACCATAATAATTTTAATAGGTAAAAATCATTTATTGTGTTAAACTATTGTTCAACATATAGGTTTTTAATTTCATCAATTACATGATTTGTTAGTTAAAAGAAACAAATTACTCCATCTTGTAATCATAACAGATTTACTTAAAAAATAATACTTTCTTTTAATTAAATTACTAAAAATTTGATTGAATTAGTTTATTAAAAGCAATAACACGAAGGTGGTGAATCATCATCTTCATATTCTATGTATTCAAGACTTCTTGAATTCTTTGGTTTGATAATTACTTTTTCACTTTTAAATTCACTCTGTTTAGACTTATTAGAATTATTGTTAATTATTTTTTCTGTATTAATGGCCTTAATATCATCATTAGCAATCAAATAAATGTTTTTACTATTATTCTTAAAATCAAAAATACAACGACCTTTAAATACCAATTCACACTTGGTTTTGAATTTATTATTTAGGTTCTCTTCAATTATCTGAACTTTATTACCATCATGTTCTAAATCTTGATTAGCATGTAAAGTTAAATTATTTTTAGAATCTTCTAAAATTTTAATTTCTTTATTAGAATAATCTGATTTAATACAAAATCCATTCATAGCTTCATAAATAAAATGCTTTTGTTCATTACTGTCATCAATTTTTTTATCATCTTTGATTTCTTCTTTATTATTCTCTTCAGCTTCTTTATTTTCAATTAATTCTTTATAACTTTCCATTATCTCATTTTCATTAATCACTTCCTCTGTTTCCTTAACTTCTTCATCATCGATAACTTTTTGATTATCAATTTCTTTATTCTCAATCATTTAATCTTTTTCTTTAACTTCTTCATTATCAATAATTTTCAATTCATTATTAAACTCATTCCCGTTAATTCTATCTACATCTGAATTACTAACATTTTCTTTAATTTCATTTGATTCTAATGAAAA